CCAAGATATGTGCTTTGGATCCTAGCCTGACTGCCTGTGAACCACAGCATTGCTCTCACTAGCAGTGCCATCCAAGGCAAATTACTTAACTTCTCTGAGTGCGTTTCCTCAACTGTAAATTAGGGGCAACACTACCTGCACTTAGGAATAAATGAGATGACAAATGAAAAGTACCTAGCATAGCGTCCCAAATCTCTTCCTCCTGAATTTGCTATCTCCAGTTACAACACAGCATAAGGAATTTCTGGATGCTGCATTTATGATGACTTAACTTTGAGAGCTGGGAAATAAAAGACGAGAACATAACGTCTTAATGTTATGATATGAGACCAAAGGAACTAGTCATATTCTGACCTGTCTGCAAAAATGGCTTAGATGCTAATGTTACTAAATTTTATTTTTCTAAGCAAAACAAAGCATGGATGTTTTAAGGTTAAATAAGTAAAAGCAAATTAAGCCTATTTCTGATGTAGCTAACTTGGGGGATATTCACCAGCAAATCTGGCTCTGTCTCTGATGGCAGTAGCTTGGGGCACAAGCACTCCTGAGCCCATCTCAGTTCCTGATTCAGTTCCTTTGCTTCCTGCCTTTGAACAAGTGACTGAAATTTGGGCCCCAGGAACCATCAAATCATTGTTCAAAATAAGTGACTGTTGTCACATTAGGTACCAACCACCCTATTCCAAAAACACCCAAGACTGTGAGAGGATGCTGCCAAGGTTAGGAGACAAAAAGAAGAGGTATTTGGTACCTGTATTAGTCTGCTCAGGCTGCCATAATAAAATACCATAGACTGGGTGGTGTGAACAACAGAAATTTATTTTCTCACAGTTCTGGAGACTAGAAGTCCCAGATCAAGGTGCCAGCTGATTCAGTTCCTGGTGACAACTCTCTTTCTGGCTTGTGGATAAACACATTCTCACTGTCTTCTCACATGGCAGGGGGAGAATAAGAACTCTCTAGTGTCTCCTCCTCCTCTTATAAAGACACCAATCTCATCGGATTAGGGCCCCACCCTATGACCTCATTTAACCTCAATTACCTTTTGACTCTGTTGAGAAAGACACTGTTTTCCCAGACTCTGTTCGGAAAGAGTCTCATGTATGCAGTCTTCCATGCATGCAGCCTTAGCCTGGAACACCTCCTTACCAAGAGATACAAGAGTCCTCACAGCATGTGCTGGGCTTGTCATCTCGTGTAGGAATATCTTTATCTATTTCAGACTCAATGTGTATTTCTTTGTTCCGCTTAAGAGATCCCAGAGGACCCCCTTGCCCTTCCACCATGTGAGGACACAGCAAGAAGGTGGCCATCTATGAATCAGGCCATCTATCCCTCACCAGACAGTGAATCTGCTGGTGCCTTGATCTTGGACTTCCCAGTCTCCAGAACTGTGAGAAATAAATTTCTGTTATTTATAAGCCAGATTCATTTGCCATAGTCCACATTCCATCCTAAGAGCCCTTGACATCCTAGTTGAGATTTTGGGGTTAAAATTTACATATAGTAAAACTTCAGTCTCATGTACTGTTCTATGGGTTTTGATAAATACATAGAATCATGTATCTACCATAGTACCATACAGAATAATTTCGTCACCCTAAAAATTTCCACGTGCAGCCCCTTCCTCAACTCCCAGCAACCACTAATCTGTTTTCTCTCCCTATGGAAAAGATTAAAAATCTAAGAGTTGGCTCTTTGAAAAGATAAACAAAATTGACAAAGCTTTAGCTAGACTAACCAAGAAAAAAAGAGAGGACTCAAATAAACAAAATTATAAATGAAAGAGGAGATAGTACAACTAATGCCACACAAATACAAAGGATCATAGAGACTACTATGAACAATTATATGATGACAAATTAAATAACCTAGAAGAAATGGAGAAATTCCTAGAAACGTACAACCTACCAAGAGTGAATCAGGAAGAAATCTGAACAGACCAGTGAGTAAGAAGACTGAATCAGCATAATCAAAAACCTCCAACAAAGAAATGCCCAGGACCAGGTGGTTTCACTGAGAATTCTACCAAACAATTAAAGAATTAATGCCAATCCTTCTCAAACTCTTCCAAAAGACTTAAAAGGGAGATACACTCTCCAACTCAGTTTATGAGGCCAGCATTATGCTGATCCCAAAGTCAAATAAGGACACTACAAGAAAAGAAAACTACAAGCCAATATCCCTGATAAATATAGATGTAAATTTCCTGAACAAAATACTAGCAAGCCAAATTCAAAAGTACATTAAAAGGATCACACACCATATGAGGATGATTCAACATAAACAAATTAATAAATGTGATACATCACATTCATAGAATGAAAGATAAAAATCAGATGATCATCTCGATAGATGCAGAAAAAGCACTTGACAAAATTCAACATCCATTCATGATAAAAACTCTCAACAGATTGGGTATAGAAGGAACATATCTCAACACAATAAAGGCCATATATGACATGCCCACAGCCAACATCATAGTCAATGGTGAAAAGCTGAAAGCTTTTCCTCTAAGATCAGGAACAGGGGTGCCCACTCCCATCACTCGTATTCAACATAGTACTGGAAGTCCTAGCCAGAGCAAGCACCCAAATCGGAAAGAAGTAAACATTGCCTGTTTGCAAATGACATGATCTTACGTATAGAAAGTCCTAAAGACTCCACCAAAAACTGTTAAAACTAAATTGATGAATTCATTAAAGTTGCAGGACACAAAATCAGCATACAGAAATAATTTGCATTCCTATACATTAACAATAAACTATCTGAAAAAGAAATAAAGAATCCCCTTCACAATAGCATCAAAAACAATAAAACACTTAGGAATAAATTTAACCAGAGGTGAAAGATCTATACACTGAAAACTATAAGATACTGATGATAGAAACTGAGGAAGACACAAATACATGGAAAGATATCCCATGTTCGTGGATTGGAAAAATTAATATTGTGAAAACGTCTATAGAACCCAGAGCCATCTATAAATTCAATGCATCCCTATCAGGATTCCAATGGAGTTTTTTTACAGAAAAAGAAAAAAAAAATCCTAGAATTCATATGGAACCTGAATATGGAACCAAAAGACCCTGAATAGCCAAAGATGAGAAAGAAGAACAAAATGGGAGGCATTACAATTCCTGATTATAAATTACACTACAAAGCTGTAGTAATCAAAACAGTATGATGCTGGCATAAAAAAAACAGACACATAGACCAATGAAACAGAATCAAGAGCTCAGAAATAAACCCTTGCATATACAATCAACTAATATTTGACAAGAGAGCCAAGAATACTCAGTGGGGGAAGGAGAGTCTCTTCAATAAATGGTGTTGGGAAAATTGGATATTCACATGCCAAAGAATGAAATTGGAACTCTACATTACACTACTCGCAAAAATTAACTCAAAATGGATTAGAGACTTAAACATAAGACCTAATACCATAAAACTCATTGAAAGTTGCTAAGAGAACAGATCTTAAAAATTCTCAACGCACATACAGATAAAATTGTAACTATGTGAGCTGATGCTTATGTTAACTAACCTTTTTGTGGTAAACATTTTACAATATATACATCAAATCATCATGTTGTACACCTTAAACTTACAGTATGTCAACTATTTCTCAATAAAGCTAGAAAAAAATTTTAATAAAATTGAAAAAAGCAAAAAAACAAGTCATAGCAAATACATACAAGGAAATACTATTCAGCAATAAAAAGGAATGAACTATCAGGTGAATCTCTAAATAATTATGCTGAGTAAAAGAAACCAGATAAAACAGGAGGAGGAGTTATGAAGGAGATGAAAAATCTTTTGGGGATGATAAATATGTTCATCATCTTGTCTATGTGTCAAAATTTATCAAATTGTTCACTTTAAATATGTGCAGTTCACTGAATGTCAATTACATCTCAAAAAAGATTTTTTTGTTTTTTGAGGAAGATTAGCCCTCAGCTAACATTTGCCACCAATCCTCCTCTTTTTGCTGAGGAAGATTGGCCCTGAGCTAACATCTGTGCCTATCTTCCTCTATTTTGTATGTGGGACACCTGCCACAGCATGGCTTGATAAGTGGTGCATAGGTCCTCGCCCGGGATCTGAACCGGCGAACCTGGGCTGCCAAAGCAGAGCACGTGAATTTAACTGCTATGCCACTGGGCTGGCCCCTCTAACCAGTTTTTTGATTAACCAACTGTATTAGTCTGCTTGGGCTGCCATAACAAAACACCATTGATTGAGTGGTATTTTGTTTTTTAAATAACAGACATTTATTTTCTCATATTTCTGGAGGCTGGAAGTCTAAGATCAAGGTGCCGGCAGGATTGGTTTCTGGAGAGACCACTCTTTATGGCTTGCAGATGGCCACCTTTTCCCTGTGTCCTCAAATGGCCTTTCCTTTGGGTGTGCATGGAAAAAGACTCTTGAGGTCTCTCCCTCTTCTTATAGGGACACTAGTCCTGTTGGATTAGGGCCCCACCCTTATGACCTCATTTAACCTTAATTACCTCCTTAAAGTCCTTATCTCCAAATACAGGCACATTGGGGGTTAGGGCTTCAACACATGAATTTGGGGAGGGATATAATTCAGTCCAGAACACCAACCAACTACAGGTCCTAACTGTGTCAAATAAGAGGGCTTCTACTCTACTCACTCACTCCCTAACTTTCAGCACTCACTGTTTCAGCGGCATCTGACATGTCATCTGTGCTCTTTGAGGAATAACATCTGCTCTTCTCTACCCCCAGAATTCCAGTACCCTGGAAGTAATGAAAGCTACATCAGATAAAATGAAATTAGCATTCCTTTCGTTTCATATCCATTTTCCTAAGGCTAGAACTGTTTTATTGTAAATTCACTTATATAACAATACTCTGGACCTTCATCAGAATTCTATCTGCAATTTGTTGTGAATTTTAATTATCCACTAATTACAAGCATAATGAATAACAACCATTAATACTCATCACCATAATAAACAGATGAATCACTCCAACAAATGTACAAACTTTTTATTTAGAATTAGACTGAAATACAAATTAAATAAGTACAATATAAAATAGTAAGCCTTCAGAAAACAAACCATAACCACTTTAACCAATCCACTATTTTTACAACAAAATTAAAGACAAATCTAAAAATGGTCCAAAATCAAATCATTCTAACTCTTATGTTTAACATTAAAATTATTACAAAACACTCAAAGAAATTTAATTAGAAAATGAACAAACCCACGACAGAGTGATTCCTGCTATCCACTAAAATCAATTAAGGAATTAAAATTTAGTATTTCTACTCATTCACAAATAAAAAGCACCTCATTTAAAAAGACAATTATTTGTCTCTGTCCAAGGCTGTGAGGACTACTTGGTTTACTTGACTTTTAATTTTAATATGGCACAATAGGTTTGATCAGCGAAAACAATATCACTGAAAATGTTTAGCATGTTCCTTACAGACCCTCTCTGCTTTACTTCATGAAAGAGGGGGTCATATGTTTAAAAGTTAAAACATTACAATATAATAAATATCCCTTAATAAGGTACATGACAAAATAAAAATATACATTAAACAATGAAGTCTCTTTCTTTTCATTTATGAATGGGGAAATGATCGGACTCACTTTATATGCTCCCTTTTTACTATGTCTTAATTCTCCAGAAAAAAAAGATTTTATCTTTTATATTATTGTTATAAATCCAATTCTAAGAATCTGCACCAAAAAAAGTACCAAGGGAGATAATATAATTAAGCCCATCTTGTTTCTGAAAATACTTATAAAAAGAGGAACTAGACTTATCCTAAGTAGGTAACAGGAAAACACACTATTAAGGTGTTTGCATATTTAAAATAATCCAAAATGAAATAAAAATCCACACTCAAGAATGGCACCTATGTTATTCAAGAATAAAGTTATTTGCCTATGTGCAAACAAATGTGTGCTTAAATAACTATTTTCATAAACATGCATATTTTGAGGCCTTTTATAATTAAACTTATAAAACCAAACTATATGATGTATGTATCAGGTGTCATGATTGGAGCTTTCTGCACACCACGGGACTTAAAACGTTAACATCTGTTGTTCTGCAACACCAAGATGAAACACAATCAAACTCAGCATTTCACTAGAAAGTTTTATATACCTCTGCAACCTTCATATCACCAAATAAATGGACTCCAGATGTAGTTATTCTTTTAAAATTTTAATTTCTACTATCGCTCTTAGAAACCATTTTAATCAAATCACATTTCTTGGAGAAAATTCACTCAGGGTTCTGAATGATTTAGTTGATTTCTACAAGAAACTTTGCCTTGACTGCTAGAGTTCTAGCTCTTATAGAAGCTTTTTTCCGTTTCAAAAAGAATGAAAAATATGCAGAGACTTTCTTACTGACTCAGTAAACGTAAAGGTTTAGAGAGAGCGTATATTAAGATTTTGGAATACAGTAACTTTTACGTTTTCAGTTTACTTACTACTAACTAGCTAAAACATCAGACAAGTCATCTAACTTCTCTGTGCCTTAGTTTCATCTTTAAAACAAAGAGATTAGAATAGATCATCTCTAAGGTCCCGCTCCAATTCTCACATGGCATGATTCTGTGCTTCGGCAAGAATATCTAATTGATATATTGAATTTTCCATAAATCAAGAGAACTGATAGGAACTAAAACAGCACAGCTGAACTAAACCTCTCTGGTTAGAGGAAACACAAAGATCATCTTAATGTTCGATTTCCTAAACCTTACTGAACCCATTCCCTCCTTAGCCAGGCCAATGAAGAGCCCATGGAGTTAAAACCAAATATCTTAGTTACATAAATTATTTTAAATTACACTGTAAACCTATTAAAATATATTAAGTCGATGCCAGTTTTCCTGCATTATAATTTACATTATTTTCATTCTATCTACATTCAAGATAATCTGTACAGTTAAGGTAGGGGGCTACTTGATATTCTTGTACTTCAAAACACTAGTAAAGTTAAATAGAATGAAGAGCAGAATATTAATCATTATCATATTCTGCCAATTAAAAATAAAAGTGTGCTGAATACTTATTTGTGGGCTAAAAAAATAAGGCAAAGGTAAAAAAGGAAATCTTGCTGACAAATGTTGATGTTCAAGGGAACTTAGTTGTGTTTTGTCATTTCTTAAAAAAAGAGAAGAGGGAGAAGATGTCGTCAGAAACCTGCCTAGGTAATACTGCAGCGGGACCTTCCAGCTTTGAGGAGAAAGTCATGCACCAGGAGCAGCACTTCGGTAAGAGTGCGGTGCAAGGCGGTTTTCCTTTGTCTAACTATGGGCAGCAAACGAGGCACTTCACCGTAAAATAGAAAAATAGGGTATACTTAAGAAGAAATTCAAAATCACTCATAAAAGATAACTAGCATTATTTAAAACGTAAAAAATTCTACTTTTATTTAACATGCATTCAACATTACATAGGCTTCACTAGGGAAAATCCTTTTGAACATAAGACTCCTGTTTCATTCATAAGACAAAAACTAAATCCTTTTCAAGAGAGTCTGGATTTCTAAGAGTGAAATCCAAGTCCTCCAACCTGAGGGCCACATATTCACAAACTGAGAAAAACACATCTTACCCACAACAAAGATACATTTCTGCTAACGACAAAGTGTGATGTGATCCCTGACTTTATTCTTGAAAGATCAAAAGTTTTAATTTTATATAACTTCAAAGAAGGGGACCTGGTGAATAACAGAATAATGAATAGATATTTAGCACCTAAATTTAGATGACACTTAAGTATTGCCATAGTTTTAAACAGTTGTATGTCCATAGATTGGGGGAAATCAGATATGCATTGTTCAATGATATTAGAACATTCTCAAAGAATAAAATATCAAGCTTCCAAAAATTATCCTTGATTTGAGAATGCATCCATCTATAACATTCAAACACAGTATTATCATTTCTTCCTGAAATTATAGATATATATTTTTTTAACAAGTAAACAAATAAGTAAGGTTTTTTTTTTCTTAACCACCATTAAATTGTCTTCCAAATGTGGCATTTTTTCAGAGATTTAGATAGAAAATAGTCATTTAAAAAAAAAAGTCATTCATATCCTACCAATAGTATTATTTTAGATGTTCTTCACTATGAGGCAGAGGTCAAAAAGTGAAGAAAATGACCATAGACCTTCTGCTGAAACACTTAAGAAAATACAAAGCAGGAACAGAGAAGATGAATATACATTAATTTCAGGCAATGTGTTGGCACATAAATGCTTATCTGTGGTGTAAAAAAAGCACAAAATGAAAAGATGATAAATGTTGTGACATCATTCCACAGGAATGGAGCCTAGCGCTGCTTTCTTTATATTGAAGAGAAATATTCCTGTGTAGCCTCTTTAAATAAGCTTGATTTTTGATTCTGGATGGAATACTTTGCTTCATATGTTAAAACTGATGCATGACATTAAAGATTTCCATGAAACACTTTAATCATCGCCACTGAAAAATCCTATAATTTTATCTTTTCTCCCTTTTTGCTTATAAGAAGGCTTTCCTTAACTCAAAAGTCTTTAAAAACATGTTCTTACGACAAGGAGGATGGCAAATTTCAATAGTTCACAGTCCTCATATTTCTCTTTTATATTTACTTTAACAAATTGCATTCCTTACTACATAATTAATTTCCTCATATACAGAAGAATCAAAATTCTTTTATTTATATCTTTAAGGTAAATTTTTCTATCTTCTTTAAGATATTCTAGTTAACTTTTGAAAGGAAATGAGTACATAAAAAAACAGGAACACTGTTGATGCAATTCAGTTGTTAAGAAATAAAGTGCACAGAGCTTTCAATATAAATATCGTTTGCTACCATACAGTTAAGTAAAAAGCTAACAAAATCAAAATGAAGATCCAGCCCAGTACCTAGAATATGGAAAATACAAGATAAGAATACAAACTCTATATACATAGTAAAAAAACTGTGGGGAATATTTCCCTTCAAACAAAAAAAGGCAACTGAAAATATTCTTAAGTCCAGTGGATTTCTGCTTCCCAAGCAACCAGATATGTTACACAATAACACCAACATGCAACACGTGAAACGTAGACTCACATTCTGACTGCTGCCCCTGCACTTCTGCGTTTAATTTACAATTCTCTGGTGTCTGACTGATTTCAGCTTGCAAAGCAGGAGATAAACCATGAGCATCATCTACAGAAGCAATATCAGACAAGACATCTAACTTTTCAGGGGAACAAGCTATGTAAAGCTTACTATCTCCTGTCCCTTCATCAAAATTTGTCCTCTCATCAGCATCTTCTAGCTGTTGAACTGAAGTTAAATACTGTTCAAGCAGACTCTTATCCTGCTCATCATTTGAGCTTTCCTTACTCCATTCACCGTGTTCTTCGCTAACATCCCCTACATCTGACTCTTTGCCATATTTGACTGTGTCAACAGAATTCCCCATTATGGAACTTTCACTGTCTTCTGTGGAACTTTTTTCAAAATCCAAGGAATCCTGCAAACAGTGAATTTGTTCTGTTAGGGAGGAATGAAAACCAGAGTCTGGAAATTCCCGTAAGGATTTCTCTTGAGGTGCTTCATCAGGAGCAATGAACCAATCAGAATTGTGATCAGAGGAAGACTCCTGACTTTGGGTGAATGATGGAGGTTTAGATGGCACTAGAGTACTTGATAAAGGAGGAACGTCAGAACGCCAGGAACTCAGACGCTGGTCCACCATCTGCTGCCAAGCTTGTAGAGACCTTACCTATAAACCAAAGGATATAGTTTTATTATAAAATAAAAATCATGCCTGTTTTATGATTGTCCTTTGAGCTCTTTTTTCCAACACTCATGAAGTTGGTAAATGGCAGAAGTGGATCAGAAATGGCCTGACTCCCTTTACCTTACATGGCTCCCCCAGCCTAAACCAGGCTGACACAAGCGGTACACATGCTTGGTAACTAAAGGCCCTTGCCAGGAGAGTAGGGATGGGCCAAAGCAATTCTCTTGCTTCTACTGGAAAAACAACAGAAGTACAACAGCGTACATACAGCTGACTAAGGAGTCAATAATGTACTCAGTAACATACACTGAGGTCTATTTAATAAGACAGATAGAGCCTATTCATAGAAGGAGATTCTCTAAAATAAAAATCTCATTTTAGATATCCATTTGGGATAAGAGTTCTTAAATATTATCTAACAATATGGTATATGCAACTCTAAAATACCTAAAAATATCCTGAGTTCTTGATAATATGACCTTTACATTTTTAGGGTATAATTAAAAATCTCAAAAATTTTCTGTAAAATCTGCAACAAGAAATCAATACAGAGAATTTTTTAGTTTCCCTTTGACTACATTCCAAGGTAATCACCAATAGCAGTTTGATATGTATCCTTCCAGACCTTTTACTATGTATTTCCAAATACACAGGGGGCTTTTAAAAACAAATGGAACCCTAAGTTCTGCGACTTGCTGTTTTTCACTGAACAATGTTATTCTGGAGATCTTTCCATGTCAGTCCATACTGTCACCTTAGTCTTTTTAACCACTCCACGGTATTCACAGAATTGTTACCCTCATGATTTATTGAACCACTCCCTTACTATTAGTAATTTTAAAACCTTAAAAATCAATAATTATTTTTCAATTTTTCAGGTAAAATCCTACTATAACAAATTCTTTTATAAAAATATTTCCAAGGAATTATCATCAAGAAACGTTTGGTGGGCTACAACAACAGTAAAACCGATTGTTGGAGCCGTCCCTAGAGTGTGCTATTATGGGTTATGCGTTTTCTCCCAAGAAGTCATGCATACTTTTTAGGACATGCATATTGTAGCCATCATACACCATCTTAGTCACCTGTTATTCAAATATTCTCAAAAGATAAGACAAGATGGATAGCTACATAAAACTTCAAACTGGGTTTTTATATCTGTGGGAAAGTTATCACATCCATCATTTAGTCACTTTCCTTCAGCTCTATACTTCTTTATCTTTCTGCTCAAAATTATGAAAATAATTTTCTTCAAATTAAATAGAATGTAACCAAATTCTCTGTTCTTTGTCAGAGTTAGAGGCAAAGAACACAAACCACATACTTAACCTTGAGAAAGGGTGCTTAGTATGCCTGACGACTCTATGATTAGCTCGATAAATCCAGAATTTTTCTTTGTTCATACCATTAGGTAAATCAGCAGGAGGAGCTTTACCTGGTTCCAAAGGAATCTGACAGCCTCTTCTTGTACAAATTTTTTAATACGTTCTTCATCTCTTTCTTTTCTTAATCTACAATAATCCAAAATCCATTAGTGACACAAGGAAGGGTACTTCTTGTTCAACTAACAAACACATGCATGGTAGAGAGATTAATAATCTAATAGTGCTTTCCACTTTTAGAACACCTAAGCTGAAATTAGTTGTTTGGTTTTTTTCTTCTTCTTCTCCCCAAAGCCCAGTATCCAGTTGTATATTCTGGTTGCAGGTCTTTCTAGTTGTGGCATGTGGGACGCCACCTCAGCATGGCCTGATAAGCAGTGCCATGTCCGTGCTGAGGATCCGAAAAGGCGAAACCCTGGGCTGCCAAAGCGGAGCGCACAAACTTAACCACTTGGCCACAGGGCCTGCCCCTGAAATTAGTTTTAAACTATGACTTAATGTAGAAGCCAAGTGAGATGTGACTGAAATTCAGATTATACTGGTTCTATAAAGTATTGCCAGTGATGAAAAGTGAAACACTAAATGGTTCTTTTTTGGCCTCAATTTCCCAGCCAAACATAGCAAAGGGGCAGGAGCTACAGAAAGGAGTGGTTACTCAAAGCCTCAAAACTGTTAAGGATTAGGATCACAGCTTGAAACACCCTCTTCTAAGAGGCCAATAGGACTCTTCCCATCAAACTGCACATCCCTGTTTGCACCAATCCCTGACATACTCCTTGCTGTCATCAACAGACCTCCACATCCATCACCTCCCCTCATTCATTAAAGTTTTATTCTGGGCTCACTGCCGCCCTCCCAATACTTACCCCCATCACAAACCTAAGGTTCCCTTAGTTGTCCATTATCTCCCAGACTGTCCCCACCATTTTGTTCTGAACCTCTGACCCACTTTCTCTAGCCCCTCCAGCCCTTCTCCTGTGCCATCTGGGACTCCCATACACACTCAGTCACTTCTCCGAACTTTTCCTTGACCAAATCAGACCCACTTCTAAGGGCACCATAGCCCTCTCAAGTGGAAGCTATTGTTTTCACTCACACATCAGGGTCAGATGATTCTGCTGTTTACAAATGATTCTTTACCTTCCTCCTGCAAGAAGTCCAGCTATCCTGCTAAATTTCCCCAAACTTTTTCAAGTACTGACTTCCCATTATCTACCCCCATTCACTCAAGTCTCAGCGCCAGTCTTTCTCTCTCCCCATTCCTGGCATCATTTCTGGAGACGTCAACATTCACATGGATGGTCTATGTAACAATAAGCCACCATCACTCATTCTCAAAGTCTCAGTCTAGACCCAATCATTTGACTACACCATTTTCAAAAATGATTTCAAGCACCCCACAACCACGACCTCCTATGCTCCCAGTTCACTTGCTCTTGCATCCCAGGGCAACAATTTAGACGTCCAGTCTTCATGTATGCCTCCAAACTAATGATCCCTTCCTCCTGTCTTCCCTTTTACCTCGTTTAAATTCCAAGATCCATCATTATAATCATCTCCTCCCAATTATCTTCAGCTCCCTTGCCCTTCTCTCTCTTCCCCACCATATTTACCTAGAAAATAACCCTTTCCTGGCTGCACCAAATTAACCATGCCCAAATCAGAACAGAACAACTGAGAGTTGCTGATGAAAATGACACAACCTGACCCATTGTCTTGCACTTTAAGCTTTTCCTCAGTATCCAGCAATCCTCCTCCATTCCCCCTATAAGTTCACTGTTAAGATGAAAACCTCACGTCTCTCTCCTTAAACCTCCCACACCCTCACCCCTCTCCTCATTCTCAAATGTTGACTATGTCTTCTATAGTATTGAAAAAGGAGAAGCATCCATCAGACAGGACCTCCCCATCCCCAACCATCAAACCTGCCACCCCACCTGCTCCTGCTCCCTCCTCAGCCTCTCCCTGTACTTGTGCACTGGATCCCTTCTCGTCCCTCCTCAAGAACTTCATTCCTGCACTTCTCCTTTCTTTCCTCTGCACCGTCAGTTTTTCCCTCTTTACTGAATCATTTCCATCAATACATAAACATGCTCTATATCTCTCATCTTTAAGAAAGAATTTTCCTTAACTCCAGATTCTCCTCCAGCAACCACCTACCCTCTTCTCTTCCTCAAGGCAACACATCCCAAAAGAGTTGGCTACACTCACTCTTCATCTCTCATTCACCATTCAACCAATTCTGAACTGCCTTCATCCCACTACACCACTGACACTGCTCTTAGGAAGCTCACTGGGCAGGAAAGGTTAACTCAGCAGGACTGGGGTGTTCAAACCCTGCAAATTCCAAAGACAGGAGTGGCCTTGACCAGCTCCCGGGAGATAACCTCCAAGCCCTAGGAATATCCTGCCTGATAAAAGTACCTTTGTATATGTAGGGCCTTGGGCCAAATCAGATAGTTTATGCTAACAATGTGCTTTCTGGTGAGTACCAGTTTTGTTGACCTGGGGCCACACTGTATCAGTCTGACCTCAGGTGGGGGCTGAGGTCTGAGTAGTTAAGGTCAGTCATACAGACACTGAATGCCCATATGACTGACTCCCAAAAAAAACCCTGGATGTCAGGCTTCAGCAAGTTTCCCTGGTTGGCAATACTTCATAGCTGTTGTCACACATCGTTGCCGGGAGAATCAAGCCCTGTCTGGACAACTGCACTGGGAGAGGACAACTAGAAGCTGGTGCTTGGTCTCCCCTGGACTCTGCCCTATGCACCTTCTTCCTTTGCTGATTTTGATCCGTATCCTTTCGCTGTAATAAACCATAATCATGAACAGCATAGCTTTCCTGACTTCTGAGTCCTTTTAGCAAATCATCACACCTGAAGCTAGTCTTGGGGACCCCTCAACACAGTCACCAATAACCTCCAGCTGCTAAATCTAATGTATAGTTCTCTGTCCTTCCTACGGCACCTCTCTTCTCTCCTGCAACATTCCCCTGTTGCAGCTGGGATACACAATCTCCTAGTTTTCTAACCACTTGGGCTGTCCCTTCTCAGTCTCTTTTACTGCCTCCTCCTCTGCCACCTATAACAATGTTAATATTGCTAGCTGCAATACTAATACTGAAAATAAGTTTACAAAATCCTAATTTTCCTGGGTTGAGAGTTAGTAAAACATGTGAGCCATAGAATTAAGGAAAATTCTGACCATTCCCCCAGAATTTTAGCCCTTTTAAATCCTTGTTATTTTATTTCTTATGTCACCTACTGAGTTCTACGTAAACTTACTCATCTTCTCATTTTTTTTTTTTAAGACTTTATTTTTTTCCTTTTCCTCCCCAAAGCCCCCAGGTACATAGTTGTATATTCTTACTTGTGGGTCCTTCTAGTTGTGGCATGTGGGATGCTGCCTCAGCATAGCTTGATGAGCAGTGCCATGTCTGCGCCCAGGATTTGAACTGGCGAAACCCTGGGCCGCCGCAGCGGAGCGTGCAAACTTAACCACTCGGCCACGGGGCCAGCCCCTCTCATCTTCTCATTTTTATACTTATTCACTTTTCTACATTTTCTGTACCTTTCTCTGTTGAGGTTTATAGACATCTAGAAGGCATGCATTCATTCAACATTTACTGCTATCCTGCATCTATGCACCAATTGCTGTGTTGGAGATGGAAATGCATGACAGTCTCTGCCACCCAGATGCTTTCAGTATCTTACGGAAACAAGTCAAGCAAGAGTGGCAAGATGGTGTGACTAGTGTTCTAACCACAACAGCAATGATGCAGTGTTCTGAATCAACTCTAAGACTCTGACACTCCCAGACCAACCAACAAGCAAACTAAACAAACAAACAAACTAAACAGGACTTTGACTCACCTCCTTATTTCATCAGTTAGGCAGACAATGTGCTCCTGCATTCTGCGTAGCCGGATTTCATAACGCACATCTTTAGCTTGAGGGTTGTAATTCCTGGCATAAAAGCCTCGCCAACAGGCCTGAAGCTTAGTGGCTGCTTCATTCAATTTCTGAAGGGCAACTTTATCTTGTCCCAAAGCAACACATCTCTGGGTTAAAACTCTGCAGGGAAGTTTCTCTGAAGCTGTTTGAGACATGATTTCTTCACCGTCTGGCTGTGTATGGAAGACATTGTGTCCAACTGACTCAGGAGAAGATGTAAGACTGTGGGTGTCATCCTTCAAGACAGCACTGGTTACTGTTGGCTCAGGACATGGTAATGGCCCATCTTTCTCATTTACCTCTGTACTGATCGGACTCTTCATCGCTTGAACAGAATTCTCCTTTGCAGCCCAAAAAGCCTTTTCCTCTTCCTTGTCAAAGTCCTGGTTTCCCAGCCCTTTCACAGACTCATCTGCAACACCATCATCTTCTAGGCCCAGGTTAATGCCTTGTAGCCTCAGCTCAACTGTAGGTGAAACTGGAGACAGTCCTGATGCAACTGGCATGAAAGTAGACTCTGAAGAGAGAAGACTACAGCTCAGCTTGTCCTCATCGGTCTGTATGTCCTCCAGGCGCAGGTCATTTCGAGAGTATCTTGCCGTGTGAACAGAGGCTGGAAAGTTACTCTTAACACCATATAACTGATCATCATCACTGCTTATCCCAACCCAAGAATTGACTTGGATGACAGGTTCTAGAAGAATCAACAGAGTATCGCTTAAACCACTAAATGTTTAAACAGATATTTTTTCTTAGTTGTATTCTTTAATGAAATCTAATCCCTAAAATACAGTAAAATGTAATAAAATGCCTTCAGTGATATCCTCCAATATGCCTAAAACACCAAACCAAATATTTTTAAGAAAATGAATTCTTGCAATAATCATAAGAATAATCAAAGTATCAGGTCAATACAAAAGGTAGCAGTTCACTGAATGTTTTTAAAAATTAGAAATATAATAGTTATATATGTATGTCTGCGTATATACATATATATAAAATATAAGATCCAAATGTTCATTTAAGTTAACAAATAAAAATTATGAAAGTATATACTTTTTCTGTTTTATGATACCCAACAGATCCAACGACTCAGAAAAAAAGCATGAGAGATCATGAATTTCATACCACTTTCCTGGACGATCTGACAGTCTTGAACAGGGCTGGAATGCTCAGGTACAAGGGGTGCCCTGGTTTCAACAGGAGCAAGAGGAGACAACTCTTCATTTTGGCTTTGGTTCATCAACTGCCTCTGGTGAAACCTAAAAATCAATAACATCTGACGTGATTTAACACAAAGCAAAAAAAGAAAGCCTTTCTGCTTCCTAGGTAACACGATCAAAAAGGTAGAAGTTTACAGTTTTCAAAGTAGATACTTTTAATCACCACCAAATTACACAGTCTCATTTGAACACATCAGATAAAAAAGGTTAAGAAACTTATTTTTAAATCACATAGACACCCTCATATGCATATACATGCACAAAAATTCAAATGCAGGATCTCTAACCAAAGAAGTGACTACTAAATGCTTCTAGCTATACTTCTTAATGTTCGTATTTAAAAGTTCATATGAAACATCTACATTAAAAGGACAAATACATTTTTTTTAAAAATCCCCCTCCCCCATACTGCTTACTCTCCCTACTCAAGAAATGATTAGCAATGTAGTCGTGGAGTAAACTGGACTGCACTGTGTGATTCAGTTCCTCTGCAGGACTGGGGCAGTGACAAGGGGCCCAAGTGCCCACAAACGTGGGCCACAGCAATTGGCTCAGTCCTACTAACCCAACAGGAAAGACTCAGAGGTATTTTCACTTGTGAATTCATCAGCTGCCACAAATAAATGGGCTTACCTCTGCTTGCTCAGAATCTTCTCTAGTTTAGCATCCTCTGCGGTTTGAAGACCCAGTGTAGAAGTGAGAGGACAGACTGTAGCCAGATACTGGACAAGCTGGATATGCTGACCAGGCCGATATGCTCTCCCCTTGCCTTGACTATAGAGCCATTCAGCTTTCAAACTGCAATTAGGGGACATAAAGAAGAGGAGATGGCACCAGGGTAGACAAGATACATTTTTAAGCCACAATAGGCTTCCTTCTTAATTTACCTTTATAGCATCATTGGGTGTTTTCATAAATAAAATTCAAGTTCAAAAATATCTATCCTTTTGATTCACTCCCCTTACTCTTATAATGTTTTAAACCTTTTTTCTTGTTTAGGGGCACTTCCACAGAGTTGCACTACGGTTCCAAATATTTTAAAATTGTTTTCAAAGAAGCAATGAGTATTCCTACCATTCACTGCCAAACTGAAGTACCTAAATACATCAGTTTTGAATAAACCCATTAGTTCACAGTGACAGCTTTTAAAAAAGGCTAGCTGACCACAGCTGGAGGATGCTAGGGAACCACCAACTCATTATTTTTAAAAACTGCTAAGTGAGCAGCAAGGACCAGCAAATCCAGAGGCACAAGCAGCACAATGAGGGCACTGACGATGCCTCTGGCAGAGGTAGTGAGAGTGGAAACTGCAGGCTGTCAAATACAACCAGACACAGCTCAGAAACCAAGTAACCAGAGCCACACCCTAATAAGAAAGGTGGTTACTACCACAAATGCACCAGCCAAGGATCAATTCATCAAACACCATATAGAACTACAGTAACACAGAACAGAAAGAGAATGACAACTCTCCAGGAACCAAACTTGAAGTCACAGAAGATTACAATCTAACTGACAGAGAATTCAAAAGAGCTATCGTAAAGAAACTCAGTGAGTTACAAGAAAACTCAGAAAGACAGTTGAATGAGTTCAGGAATAAAATTAATGAACAGAAAGAGTTCCAAGACTGAAACTCTAAAAAAAAAAATCAAACTAATTCTGGAGATGAAGAACACAATTAATGAGATAAAAAAAATTGTGCAGAAAGCATTAAAAATGGAGCAGACCATATGGAGGAGAGAATCAATGCGTTCAAAGATAGAAACTTAGAAATAATTCAGGTGGAGGAAGAAAGAACTAAGATTTTTTTTAAATGAAGAAATTCTTCAAAAAATATCTGACTCAATTAGGAAAAATAACATAAACATAATAGGCATTCCAGAAGGAGAAGAGAAGGAGAAAAGAGTAGAGAACTTATTCAAAGAAATAATAGCAGAGAACTTTCCAAACCTGGGGAAAGAACTGGACATGTAAGTATATGAAGATAACAGAACTCCTAATTACTTCAACGCAAAAAGACTTTCTCCAAGGTCTTTAATATAATATACTATTAAAACTGTCAAAAGGTGGGGCTGGCCCTGTGGCCAAGTGGTTAAGGTCACGTGCTCTGCCTCGGCGGCCCAGGGTTTCACCAGTTCAAATCCTGGGCATGGACATGGCACCGCTCATCAGGCCATGCTGAGGTGGCATCCTATATGCCACAACTAGAAGGACCCACTACTAAAAATACACAACTATGTACCGGGGGGCGTTGGGGAGAAAAAGGAAAAATAAAATCTTTTAAAAAAAAACCGTCAAAGGCAATACAAAGAAAAAATATTAAGGGCAGCAAGAGAGAAGAAAATAACCTACAAAGAAACCCCTATCAGGCTTTCAGCAGAAACCCTACAGGCTAGGAGAGAGTGGAACGATATATTTAAAACACTGAAAGACAAAAGCTATCAGCCAAGAATACTCTATCTAGTGAAATTATCCTTCAGATATGACAGAGACGTAAAAGCTTCCCCAGAAAAACAAAAGCTGAGGGAGTTCATCGCCACTAGACTTGCCTTATAAGAAATGTTGAAAGGAGCCCTCCTACCTGAACAAAAAGGCAAAGGTTTACAAAGCTTTGATCAAGGAGATAAACAAACAGAATCAGAACACTGCAGCTGTATATCAGAATAGGTTAGTAAACAATTATAACATAAAGAATAAAGGTAGGGGCCGGTTCCGTGGCCGAGCGGTTAAGTTTGCGTGCTCTGCTGCAGCGGCCCAGGGTTCAGATCCTGGGCGCGGACATGGCACTGCTCATCAGGCCACGTTGAGGTGGTGTCCCACATCCCACAACTAGAAGGACCTGCAACTAAGATATACAACTGTGTACATGGGGGGTTTGGGGAGATAAAGCAGGGAAGAAAAAAAAAAGATTGGCAACAGCTGTTAGCCCAGGTGCCAGTCTTAAAAAAAAAAAAAGAATAAAGGTAAAGAAAGCATCAAAAATAACTATAAACACTTCAACTTGGGCAGAAACTTACAACACAAAAAAGAGTAATTTGTGACAACAAAAAAATAGAAGAGGAAGAGGAAAAGGATGGAACCTGCTTAGGCTAATGGAGATAAGAGGCTACCATAAAAAGGACTATCTCATCTATGAGATCTTTTATACAAACCTCATGGTAAACACAAAACAAAAAATCAGAGCAGAGTCACAAAACATAAATAAAGAGAAAACTGAGAAAAACATCACAGAAAACCACCAATCTGAAATGACAGACAGAAATACAAGGAATAAGAAACAAGGGAAATTGGGAACAACCAGAAAACAAAAGACAAGATGGCAGTATTAAGCCCTCATATATTAACAATCACTCTAAATGTAAACAAATTCAATTCACCAATCAAAAGACGCAGTGTCTGGATGGATTAAAAAACAAGACACAACAATATGCTGCCTCCCAGAAACACATCACACCTCTAAAGACAAATACAGGCTCAGAGTGAAGGGATGGAATATGATACTCCAAGCAGATAGCAAGCAAAAGAAAGTGGGGTACCCATACTTATCAGACAAAGCAGACTTCAAGAAAAAAAGATAAGAGACAAAGATGGGCATTATATAATGATAAAAGAGATGTTCCATCAAGAAGACATAATACTTATTAATACATATGCACCTGACAAAGGAGTGCCAAAGTATATAAAGCAACTATTATTAGACCTAAAGGGAGAAATTGATAGCAACACAATGATACTAGGAGACCTTAACACCCCAGTTATGTCAGTGGATAGATCAACCAGACAGAAAGTCAACAAGGAAACAGTGGCCTTAAATGAAACGCTAGACCAGACAAACTTAATAGATATATATAGACCATTCCATCCAAAAACAGGAGAATACACATTCTTCTCAAGTGCAGTTGGAACATTCTCAAGGACAGACCATATGTTGGGAAACAAGACAAACCTCAACAAATTTAAGAAGACTGAAATCATATCAAGCATCTTTTCCAACCACAATGCTATGAAACTAGAAATCAACTACAAGAAAAAAGCTGGAAACGTCACAAATATGTGGAGACTAAACAACATGCTACTGAACAACCACTGGATCAATGAACAAATCAAAGGAGAAATCAAAAAATACCTGGAGACAAATGAAAATGAAAACACAACATACCAAAACTTATGAGATGCAGCAAAAGTGGTACTAAGAGGGAAGTTTATAGCAATACAGGCCCACTTCAACAGACAAGGAAAAATCTCAAATAAGTAATCTTCCACTATACCTGAAAGAACTAGAAAAAGAACAACAAAAAAGCCCAAAGTCAGTAGGAGGAAGAAAATAATAAAAATCAGAGCAAGAGTAAACAAAATAGAGACTAAAAAGACAAGAGAAAGATCAACGAAACTAAGAGCTAGTTCTTTAAGAAGATAAACAAAATTGAGAAAGACTTAGCCAGACTTACTAAGAAAAAAAGAGAAAAGACTCAAATAAATAAAATCAGAAATGAAAGAAGAGAAATTAAAACAGACATCACAGAAATACAAAGGATTATAAGAGAATACTATTAAAAGCTATATGCCAACAAATTGGATAACCTAAAAGAAATGGATAAATTCTTAGAATCATACAACCTCCCAAAACTGAATCAAGAAGAAATAGAGAATCTGAATAGACCAATCACAAGATTGAAACAGTAATCAACAAAAAGCAGAAGTCCAGGACCAGATGATTTCTCTGGTGAATTCTACCAAACATTCAAAGATTTAATACCTTGCCTCCTCAAACTCTTCTGAAAAATTAAAGAGGATGTGATGCTCCCTAACTCATTTTACAAGGCCAACATTACCCTGATACCAAAACCAGACAATGACAACACAAAAAAGGAAAATTACAGGCTAATGTAGCTGATGAACATAGATGCAAAAATCCTAAACAAAATATTAGCAAATTGAATACAACAATACATTAAAAGGATCAGATACCACAATCAAGTGGGATTTATTCGAGAGATGCAGGGATGCTTCAACATCCATGAATCAATCAATGTGATACACCACATTAAGAAAAGATGTTCATCTCAACAGATGCAGAGAAAACATTTGACAAGATCCAACATCCATTCATGATAAAAACTCTCAATAAAATGAGTATAAAAGGAAAGTACCTCAACATAATAAAGGCCACATATGACAAACCCACAGCCAACATCCTACTCAATGGAGAAAAACTGAAAGCCATTCTTCAGAGAACAGGAACAAGACAAGGATGCTTGCTTGCACCACTATTATTCAATGTAGTACTGGAAGTTTTAGACAGAACAATTAGTCAAAAAAAAAAAGAAAGAAAAGTGATCTAAATTGGAAGGAAAGAAGTGAAACTCTCAGTATTTGTGGATGACATGATTCCATATATAGAAAACCCTAAAGAATCCACCAAAAACCTATTAGAAGTAATCAAGAAATACAGTAAACTTGTAGGGTACAAAATAAACATAAAAAAATCAGTAATGTTTCTATACACTAATAACGAACTAGCAAAAACAGAAATCAAGAATACAATCTGATTTACAATTACAACAAAAAGAATGAAATACCTAGGAATAAATTTAACCAAGGAGGTGAAAGACTTCCACACTGAAAACTATAAGACATTATTTAAAGAACTCCAAGAAGACATAAGAAATGGAAAGATACTCCATGCTTATGGATTGGAAGAGTAAACATAGTTAAAATGTCCGTATTACCTAAAGCAATCTACAGATTCAATGCAATTCCAATCAGAATCCCAATGACATTCTTCAGAGAAACAGAAC